TCTTTTCCTGACCTTATCCCTGCCTATCTGCATTCCCACCGGTCCTGTAGAGCACAGGGCGTAGTATGCAGGCCAACAGCTGCTCTCCAGATGCTGGGATGCTTTGAGATGGCTTTCTCCCTGCCTCCCTCCCTGCATGCACTTCTGTGCACAAGAGCAGTGTAAGAGCCTGGCAAATGGAGACCTCCTCGCTGGAGGGCCTCTTCCACTGGCAGCAGATTAAATGCTCCAACACTTGCTGTGTGAGGCGATGGCTGCTGGCTGCCTCTTGCAAACCTTGGCACTGCAGGAAAGACCCTTGCTTGGCTTCAGAGCTTTGCAGAAGCCCCACGGGGGATGATGGAATTGGGTCCATTTGCAACAAAAGGCCCCCCTAGCCATCACTGGAGCAAAACTGCACAACAAGTTTATGTTCTAATCCCAAATGTAATTAAAGAGCCAGATGTGTGCATCTGGATTTCACCTCTCCCCCCTTGGATTTCTGCCCTGCAATTGCCTCTGTGGTGTAATGCTCAGCTACTTACCTCCTAAGATCAGCTGCTTACCCCCTAAACATGGGGGAATGCTGTGGCCAAGAAAAAGCCAAGAAAAAGGACCCTGGCAAAGGATGTTCAAAATAAAAAGAGATTTAGATGCCTCAGAAAAAAAACCAGAAAAGTAGTGACACAGAGGGAATACTTTGCTTAATTTCCTTTCTCCTTGTCTGGAACAAAACTGGTTGCCTTCAGTTCCATATCATGTGTTTTTTGCATTTTTAGACAATCTCTGTGTTTGAGGAGCGGGCCCATATTCTCTACATGTCTTTGGAAAAGCTGAAATTCATTGATGATCCTGAAGTCTACCTGCGCAGATCCGTCCTCATCAACAATCTCATGAAGAGAATCCATGGAGAGATCATCATGCAGAACAACTGGTGCTTCTCCACCTGCTCCTTCAGTGGCACCTCCCCACAAGAGTGGTTTGTGCCTCAGGACTGTCCATACAGAAAACGCCTTCGGATGGCAAAGGAGGAGTATGAGAAGCTCCACATGTGCTGCTTCTATCAAGAATGTGGCAGTCACTATTTAAATCTACCCTACTCTGTTAATGCTAGTACAGAAAGTAATTCCTCTTCTTCCTCCTCTTCCTCCTCCTCCTCCTCCCCTCCCATCTCTTTGCCAAGCTGTTCCCAGCAGGTGGATTATGAAGTTGGCAGCGCACCTTCTTACAGAAATGATGACCAGCTACCTGCTAATGAAATATTTTTCACTAATGGCAGGTCTCACAGTAATCAGGAAAAGGCAAAATTTAATGACAAGAATGGAGGTAATGAACCTGAGAGAGAAAGCATCACCCTAAACTGTGAACCTGTAAGAGGCACCCATGCTCTTGAATGTAAAGGCAAATTTTATGACTGTTTTGAGACTGGATGTAATGACAAGAGCAACATAAGTGAATCTTGGAAAAAATCCTTAAGGAAAAAGGAATCTTTACCAAGTAATAAAATCTGCTGCAACAAAGGAAGTAAAATATGAGGCATCTTTCTTGCTCTATTGAAGCATGCACAGCATGTTCCTTCTCTACCAAATTTTTATTTTGAATGGATTTTTTATAGTTTTCTACTAATGGTACAATCATGCCACAAACGTGACGTGTAGAGTGGAGAGCAGATTGTGTAAAGTGTCTCTGCCATCCGCATCAGGAGCTATTTATAAATGTGGAGACTTCAGAAAGAACACAGTTGCATTACTGCTGAGCACTGTAGTCTATGCAGTTATGGTGGAGCTTTCGTTGCTGAAAATGCCAATCAGCCAGATGGGGAAAACATATCGTTTTACATATCCCCACCCCCAAGAAGTCTGCCATTAATTAAGAAGAACCTCCATTATGTTTACCAAGGAATGAGAAGTCTGGTAAACAAATTGATGCTACCAGCAAGGATGATATGCTCCTTGTAACTCAGTATTCATTCTGACAAAGGACTGTCTTCATGGATTGGGAATAAACCATCCTTACGTTTTGTAGTGATACTCTTGAATTCCTGTATTCAGCATCTTGTTCAACTGACAAAATAGGACATAGCATAAAGAAATAACCTGTTTATGGAATCTTAATCAGAATCAAACATGCAGCTCAAGTACTTGCATGTTTTCACCTCGGCTGTAATAACTAATGAGGTTTGTTGTTACACAAGACAGGTTTTTTTTTGGTGCCTTACTTTTTGTCTTAATTTTTGCCAGTGTGAAAATTAAGTATGAATCTGATACAGCAGGGATTTAACCTAAACAGAGATTAAAAAGAAACCCACAGGGTGGATCAATATTATTAGAAACCTTTAACCTTTGAAGTACTGAGTTCAACTTCCTATTCAAACATCTCTGTTCTTCCTTTTTGATGCTCAATTGCTTTTTGATTTGCCATCCTTAGGAAGGGATTTAAGAAACAATAGAGAGATGTCTCTTGTAAACAAGCATTCGATGCTTGAGTGTTTCTATGGCAACTGTCTGTTGCTGGGGCTCTTTTTTTTCTTCTTCGTATAATGAAGTTCATGACCCAGTGGCATGTTTTATACTTTATTCTGTTTCACATAATTTCTATATTTTAGATTGCAAAAGCATGCGGGAGTTTTCTATGACTTTTGCCATTGATTTAAAAAAGACAAGAAGGCAAAAAGCACAATGTTAATTAATAATGTGGCGATAAATGCAGTTTTATCTGAATGAATGTAAGGGGTTTAATTTTAAAAAAGAACATTTTGGAGATTTCAGTGGCTGAGAACAACATTTAGTTATCCCTAGGTAGATTGATTGCAAATGTGTGCTGTGTAAAATGCCCAGAAGACATGAGCTGGGGTTGGACCAAGAGTGAGTCTTAGATTCACCAAATTAATTAGTTCCCACACTCCCCATAACAACTGGCAGAATGTGCTCAGCAAAATAGCCACATCCAGGCCACAGCTGACTCATAAATAGCTGCCTGTTCCCACAGCATCTTGCACTCAAGTGACGTCTCCGCTTTCTTCTTGCCCAAAGGGTGAAAATCACCTCTGTGCTGGGGGAGCAGCCACTCAGTGCAGGGCATGAGTGTCCCCAAGGGGAAACAGCCCCATGCTTGGCACTGGAGTCAGACAGGTCTCTGGGACTGAGACCTTCTGCTTTGGGTTTCATGGGTTCAGCTGGAGGAGTCCTGAGCTGTGGTTATTTTGGGTAGCAAAATTCATTTGCAGACTGTATGGTCTTTTTCAGAAAGCCCGGTGGTCGCAGGAAAAATCTACCCAGCCAAGGTGACCACAAACACAGCAGGATATAAATCAATGATAACCTTTATGAAGTCAAGTGAGTGTAAACCGATAAGTTTGTAAGGGTTATCATTGGGAAAAATGACAAATAAAGAAAGTACAAGTCCCACCTGATTTCTCCAAGACAAAAGCTTTTTTATTAATAATAATAATATTAAATATAGATCTCATTCATACAGTGTATGAGTAGGATCATCATTTAGACATTTGTCCACAAGGACCAATTTTTTTAAAAAACTGATTTTTCTTGTGTTATATCCAGATAGTCTAGTAATGTCTGCTCTTTTCCAATATTTGATAAACGCTTGATGTTTTAAGCTTAAATATTAGGTGCTTGTATACTAACGTGTTGTTGTAGTAAAGTGAAATTTCCTTGATATATATTTATTAAAATGACCAAAATTCATTTTAATTTTACATCTCCAATGGCTACTGGGTCCTTTCCCCTATGTTCCCCTCCCTCACCAAAGAAAGCGCCGCTTAATCAAACTGCTCCCTGCTCTAGAGATTGCACAGCAGTTGACTGTGCACTTCAGGCTGGGTCTGTGAGGCAGCTCAGCCTTGCCAGGGTTTCAGGAGCATTTAGGACAGTCTGAAGGTGCACTGAGAAGCAACTGATTCTCTGTACACTTGCACATACAGCCAAGGAAAACACCTGGCCAAATGCTGCCCAAACCACAAATCAGCTAACACTTTTGGGGAGCTGAAAGCTTTTTGACCCTAAAGGGCTCCTTGGTCTTCCAGAACAAGCCTGCACACATAACCTATTGCAGAGGCTTCTCAGTTCAATTTGCACAAGCTGAAGTGATGGATCAGCAGATCTTTGTCTACTCTGGCCTCTATAATGGCTTCTTTAGTTCCAGAGACTAAAGATTAATAGGTTAATCTGGAAATTAACCTGTTACAGCTCTAGACAGTCTTATTGTCATCAGGGTCTATAAGGGAGGAAATGCCATCTAATGAAAGTTGGCTCACAGATGAGTGGGGCTTTATGCCTTTCTCTGGACCTTGCCTCACAAAATAATAGCAAATACCGAAACTAGATGTGTTGGAGTCAGGAGTCCACTGCTGGCCTTACAAGAGACAGAGGTATTCCACATTAGAAAAGAGAGGTGGAAACACCCTTGTCCCATCCCCAGAAAAGCAATAGACCTTGATAGGATCTCCATCCTGGGCTAGACTGAATGGACTCAAATTCAATTTGATTTATGGCATGTGAAGTCTGTAAGTCTTATAGGCCTTTTCCCCACTGCACACTCCAGTGTTAAGGACATTTTGCTAGTATCAAAAATTTTCAAGAAATAGTTCTTTTACAAGATTATTTCAATGCTTTTCATCCATATGTTCCCCACATAATTGTTAAATGAATGCTCCTGAACTTGATCCTGGCCTACCTGCCAGATAGAGCTGGACAGAAGCGCTTCTCTCTAGGAAGATTGTTTTTCTCTCTATCATAAGACACTTTGCTCCTAGAATGTATGACTATAAAGTACTGTGCCTTTCAGCACATGCCAAACAGCAACAGAAAAAAATGTTTCTGTTGTCACATCAATTTTGTTGTCGCTAGGAACAGAAGTGTCATTTTATCTTCAGGATCTAGGTAATACATTTCACTTGGAAATGCAAAGTTCATTTGGGTTTAAAAAGTCATGTTTCTTTTTCAAAGCACGTGGCATAATATCATTGTGCTTCATGTATACTCACTACTTTTGGTAAAATTTTACTATTTTTACTGTATTAGCTAATCTGTTGAAACAGCTTAACATGGGTACTGAAGCATCCTCAGCACTCAGACAGCCTCAGCTGGCAGTGATGTGCAGTGCCAGCAGAGCAGCTGGTTCTGCAGGGAAAACAGCCACAGCCTGAGCCACAGAAATGAAGTGCTTCTTTCAGTCCTGAATGTGTTACGCCCCTGAGCAAAATTGTGGCAGAGACTTTTTTCACATTTCACCTTCCTGCATGCCCTCCATCCTCCTTTTACACCCCTCATCTACCATCTGTCCTTTTGTGTCTTACCATCATGATGACCATGACACACTGCCAGGGTGCTACGGTGTGTGCCACCACCCTTCGGGTTTGTGCAGGGGAAGCAGGGAGCTGATCCAGAGCCACAGCATGAGCTAAGGTGCTATTTAAACAAAGGAACCAGGTGGCTGCTCTGTGGTCCCTCTGGAGCCTTGTGCCAGTTGTGACCCCCCCCTCACCTAAATGACTTTTCCAGCTGCCTGTAGCTCAGATTGCCACTACGGAGTGATCTGGTGATAAGAGAGTTATGGCTGAAGCATAGAAAGAGGTGAATGTGATGTCTAGCCTGCATTTGACTTGTGTCCTTTCATTGCCTTCTTGAGCTAAAGGTGTAGCGAGAGGTGTAGCAAGTGCAATGGCTGCTTACTCATGCCAGGAACCTCATTATTTTCTTAAGTTTTATCACAAAAAAACCCCAAAACCAAATGAGTCAGTCACATCAGGGAAAGGTTTAAACTGCTGTGAGGTAAAGGATTTCATCTGGTGTTGTACTCAATGAATGCAACTCTCACAGGCAGGCCTCCCAAAGGGACCTGACCTTTTACATTGTCCATCCCTTGCTTCGCAACCTCTAAGACAGGGGCTGCCCTTGCTTTCTGGAGGTCACCATTTGGGCTCCTCAGTACTGGTATGAGCTTTTCTACAGCTGCACGAAGCACCCCAGAGGTTTTTCCTGGCAGGGTGCGCAGAGCCTGTTAAAATACCATAGCCAGGAAAGTGTTTCAAAGGATCCTGCTGGAAATGTTAGGAGATGCGAATCTTCCACATCCCATATAACAGCCAAGCCGCTCAGTCACAACTACTTGGAATACACAGTAATTTCCTGTGTTTTTTCAATCTCACTTAAACTTCTCTGACAGATGGGGAAAGATGACTAAACCAAGGGAGTTTACAAAAGTTCGTCTTGTGGTGTTTGCAAACTGTCTCTGTGAGGTCCATTTTCTCTAATGTAAACACAGCCGTGGCTGGGTGCCGAGTGCCTTTGCAGCAGCTAATCCTGCTCAGCTTAAGGCTGCACAAACGAGGAGTACCCAGCCAACCAGTCCACTCTGGGGGCTGAACATGAACCAGCCCTGGGGCTGAGGTGTGTTAGGAGGAGACCTTCATTTTCTGGACTCCAAACAACATGAAGCAAAGCAGCTGTGGCTCTAAGACCAGACTAAGTTTACTATGCTGGGTCAGAGGCCTTCCAAGGGGCCTTGGGTCAGGTGTGGAAGGTTAGATAAAACTCCAGGGTAATAATCATGTGAAAGCAATTGCCTTTGGAGCTGTAGTTGGCCTATTGTTGTTCTTCCTAGTCTTTAAATCACTGCCAGGAAGGGAGTGCACCTGGGGGAAAGTGGAGTTTCAGTTCCTTGGCTTTGCAGAAGTGGTGCAGAGTATGCAAAGCTTTTTCACCAGCTCCAGCTGAAAGGCCGGGAAGGTAAATGTTTTAACTTCTTTTATTGCTCAAGTTCCCCTTGCTGAGGAATGCAGGTTGTGTGAGGAGGAGCCATAGATGGGTGGTGTGTGTACACTCAGAAGTATGCACAAGCAGAAAACACCAACCCCAAACACCAATGAAAGACCCCAAAGCAGAGAGATACTGAATTTGAAAAGTAACTCATCTTCTATAGCTAGTAATTCTTATGAATTAATCCAGCATCACTCTCCAGTGTAGTGTGGAGGGCATTTATTCTGTCATATTGGGATTGCAGCAAGACAATAAATGGTCTGTCTGCTCAAGGTCAGTCCATTTACAGCTACCTCCTGCAGTGGTGCTTTCCCTGTGGAATACCCCACTAGGCTCATCATTCTGTGTGGGGGGGTCTGTGTCTGCCTCCTGAAACCGCTCAGGTCCTTGCAGAGGAGGATGATGGACTGTCAGTAGCTGGTGGTCTTCTCTCCTCCATGATACTGTGGCCTGTAGCTGCCACAGCTGTGCTCAGCAAGCTCAGAGGGATCCCACAACATCCTTCTACCATCCCCTCACTGCCTTCTATTTCAAATACAGTATTTTCCCTCGTGAACTATGACTGGTGTCAATGGTCTCTAGCAGTTTGCTGGCTGGTATTTCAGAGATTTTTGCAGCTGGGTGATGGGTCATGAGACCCTTAGCTGGCATGAGATGATGATGTGCTATTGATTTTTCGAGAAATTGTGCCAAAAATTTCTAAGCTAACCACCCACACCTTTGGTTATTATTGGTTTTGTCTTTTCCTCATTTTCTTAATCAGAGTAAGTTTTGAAAGACAATCCCTCTCTTCCACCTCTTCCACCCCACATTTTGTGGGACTGGCTAGTCTGTATTTACTTCTTTTAGTAAGGAAAAATCTCTGCCAGTGGGAGTTGACGTTGTGCAGCAGATTGTTTTCAAATCCAGTTTTATTCTCAAACTCCAAAATGGTTTGTCTCTCAGTGTATGTGTAAAATCTGTGCTCTATTCCTTCATAAATGCTAAAAGCCCTTGTAATTATTTTTTCACACTCCATCCATTGCTTTTTCAGGGCAAAATCCTCTGTACTTTGGTCTATGAGCAGGTCCCACTAACCAGACTCCTCATCCTCTTTAGTGATACGGCTGCCATGGGGCCAATTACTTCTTTGAGTACAGTAGTGTGGGTTTGGCTCGAAATGCAGTTGTCCTTTATCGTTCTTACAAACCATCAGACAGTGAACATAAATCTAAGTGTTGCTACATTCTAAGTATAATGTTCTTTCAGCATCGTTTTCTTCAAACTTATCTTCTGTGAGTCTCAACAAGTATTGCTAAAGCATTTCCCAATTACTGTTAGTATTGTAATTAGCATTAGCCTGAAAATAAAATTTGACTAATTGTGTAAATCTTGAGCAGCCTATGTTTTACCTGTGGAGGCTGAATATGTATTATTCCTTCTTTGACCCCTTCCTCTGTGTAACAGATTGGTTTCTGGCTTACCAGCAGACTAACTGGCATGATGACAAATCTCATTTTGTCTTTTCAGGAAGAAGTAAGGCACACAGTGTTAATGCAATCCTGTATATCCATTGAAAGATTGCTCCAATACAGAAAGTTTAAAATAACCTGTATAAGCATCACAGGCATGAAGAAAATCTTAAAATACAAGTAGGGCATAAGCTACTGTCAGATCACTTTCCTTACTCTGCATGCAGGCTGAGACAAGGATTTTCATTGTATGAATTTATCCACCCATTGGAAGCGCCTGTTTGCTAATACTGAGGCTTAAAGATGACAGTGTAATGTCAGCCTTTGAGGTATTTCACCGGTGACCATTATAAATAAGGCACTCAGCTATCAAGCTTGCCCTCCCTTCCCAGTGATCCTCTGAGCCTCTCAAGCTGCTGGTGGACCCCAGTAGTAACCTTCCAGCTGCCAAAGCTCCTTTTTCCCCTTTGAATATTTCTATATGCTATCAGTATCCATATTTCTAGGGTCTAGAAACACAGGGACATGACAAACTGTCTTTTAACTGACTATCATCATAAATAATGGAAAGGCAACCAGGCTGATAATTTTATTCTTTTAATTGTGAATAGAGGAAACCTTTTTGAAAAAACTACTATTATTTGGGAACTTCAATTTATATAATGCAACCCCAGAATTTTCTGGCTATCATGAATCTGACACCCATGCACTAAAAATCCTTCATGATCACACAGCCCTACCCTGGTGGGTGCCAAAATCAGAACCTCGGCAGAGCCTCTGAGCTTTGACTGGATGTTTTCCTACACTGCCTCATTTTTCCCCTTTGCACAGAAGTGCTGAGAAGATGCATGTGGAGGGGGATGGTACCTGAGAGAAAAATGTAAATCATAGCAACCTGACTGTCAAGAGGGTATCACTTTTTATTTCCTAGCTCATGTTCCCAGCAACAGTGGAGCTGCAATATTAAATTGTTTTGTTTCACTTCTCGGCTTGGTTTACTGGTGCCAGAATAGCTGCAGCCCCTCGAGCACAGAGGTAAGGGGACCTTGCAACTGAAAGCTTGCCTGGAGGTTTTGTTCCCCTTTGATAGGTCGGGCTGGCTCTCATTGCAGGAGCAGCTGGGAAGAAATAATTAGCATAACAAAGAGCTATATTATAGTATTGCATTGTGCATTTGGAGCCTTCACATACCTTCACTCCTTCGGTTACATGCTACATAAATCTGAATTCCGGGTAGAAATGGAAAAATACAAACTGAAAAAGAACTCAGCCTTTAACGTGAAAATAATTTGAATACTCTGACTGCAAATGTAGAGCCCCCTCAGCGTTCTAGGCACAGCCGTACTGCGAGTGCCAGTGGCTGTCCTTGCGGCTGTTGGGAATGCGTGGCCAGGGAGAGCCGCTCTCCCCGCCTGGTGGGGGTGGCAGGTTCTGAGGGGGATGCAGGGCGAGTTCTTCCCGGCACACAGGAGCTGATGGACTGAGGTGGCGATGACCAGGCAGCCCAGCAGCCGCTTTCTGCCCCTCCCAGCCCAGAGGTGCTGGGTTACCAAGGAGAAGGCTGGGGGTGCAAGTACTTGGTGTTTTGCTGTTTTCATTGTTGGCAAACAGCAAAGCTGTGCTGCGGGGGCGTTGGCGATCTGTACGGGTTTAGTTGCACAAGAGGTTATGAGCGCTGCAGAAAGCTCCTTTACCTGTCCAGGTGCCTCCCCTGGGAGCTCCCAGGTGTTGTGCCCTGTCCTCCTGTCTTGCTCACAGCAAATCTGTCCCACGTGTCTATTACTGCCCCACGGCAGAGGCTGGATGGCGCCTACAACGGGCTGTGGCATTTGCAAAGCCCGTGGTTCCTTCCCTGGCCCATTGGGAAGTAAACTTACACCCACCGTGCCTGCCCAGCTGCCCACTCACTGCAGCATATTTTTCTCCTCCCTTTTCCCCCCCATTTTGACTGTTTCTTTTGCTGAGGAAAATTACCCATCCTGGGAGTTAGAAGAAATGCAGAGAATGAAGTAAAAGGAGCAAAAATTTCCCAGGGAAGGTTTTTCAGAGCTGATCCTCCCCTGGGTCCAATATCTGTCAGACGTGCTTGCAGCGCGCAGCTGCATCATGCTGTCAGCAAGAGGGATTTAAAATCTAACCCGCATATGCAACTCTTTCTCTTGCTCCTTTGGATTGAGGATCCCTGGTAGGGCAGGAGAGTAAATCTCATCCTAGGAGGGCGGCTCTGTCAGCCCTGCAGACAGCCTGTATTGCAGCAGGGAGCTGAAAGCTCCAGCCGTAGTGGTAGTGATTTCTGTAAAACCTGGATGTACTTTACCCAGATATGTGTATTTGCAATGACTCATCAAGCAAGGAGCTGCAAATTGAGCAAAGACCCTGGAAGATCCTAGTGTTCTGTCCTGTTTGTACATGAGATAGAGAGGCTGCTGTGCCTCTGCCTGAGGTAACTTGAGGGAAGAGCTAGAGGTAGGCTTAGAGGACAAGACCAGAGCACTGCAATAGCACTTGATGGTTCTTAAAAGGTTGTGGAAGTTTAGGAAGCAAAAACTTTCAAACAGTTACTAAGGACACAATGTTGTTCAGGCTTTATGGTTGTGATTGTGATAACAAAATTTATCAGAGAAACAAATTTGTCAAAACGAATGAGACTTTGTACATTTAAACCACACTGACATTGTGTTGTGCTTTCCTTCACAAGCAATGTCTAAAACAAGAGTTGTATTTGAAAGAGACTGGTGAGAAAAAATTACACAGATCTATTCTTTTGTTTACTTGGTGCACTTGACAGCCCTGAATACAATCAGGTTCTCTGCTTTGCCTGTACAGTCTGTCAGTCAGTTTTCTGACATTTGTTTGAGCCTTTACATAGCAGCAGAGAAGACAGAACTGGATTTTATAAGGAAAATATGTCCATGGAAACACAAAGGGTGCTGATGGATTCAGAGGTAGGGAGTGTCATTGGGTGATACTTTGCATTCATCCATTTCAGGGGGAAAAAATTCAGCAGACTGTTGGGTTTGGGTTTTTGGGGTGGGGTTTTGGGTTCTTTGACATGGTTGTGTTTTTTGTTTTGTGGTTTTTTTTGGTTTTTTTTTTTTTTAAAAAGCAAAGACTGCTTCTTTGCAGCCTGAGAGCATAAAACACCACACATAAGCACTGATGAAATGTTAAAAAACAAGAGTTGAAAAAAACAAAAATCTCAACTAAGCTCCTGGCAGGTGTGGAAGCCACAGGGCTTTAGTTCTGTCCTCACAGTGTACAGCCACACACCCTGGTACAGTCTTCTTTGTTCATGATAAATACAGTGTGTCCCACATGTGCAAAATCTCTTTCCTCAGCTCTGCAATGGTAGTTGCTCTGAGTCTTATAGAGGCACCATCAGGTCTGTTTCCTCTCAGCCTGTTTCTAGCACTTCAGAAACTCTGTTGTTCCTTTCTACAACAACCATGTAGCTTCATCAGCCACATCCATCTACAGCGCCCATTTCCTGCAGCTCACAGTACTTAGATGGAGAAACAG